CTCCAGGCTCTGAGCTGGCAGTCAGCACAGAGCCCGACGCGGGGCTCGAACCCACGAACCGCGAGATCATGACCTAAGCGAAAGTCGGACGCTTAACTGACTAAGCCACCCAGGCGCCCCCTTTTTTTTTTTTTTTTTTTCTTAATTTTTTTAATTGTAGATGTTCTTATACTTACCCGTGCTTCTTGCTTAAAACAGCGTGGGTGGGTCCCGCCCCTGCAGGGTCTGCATTGGTCCGTCTGGTAGGTTAGGGGTCCGCATTGCTAAACGGTATTCCAGGTGAAACTTACATGGGTAGTTTCTGGGCCACCCTTGGAGGTGTTCACCACGAAGGATATACACATGCAGAGTGTGTGGATGAAGGGGAACCGAGAAGAGTCAAGGCCTGAGTGGACATCAGCAAGGTGTTATGGCCCTGGAAAAGGGGACAGGATGAATTTTAGAAGACAAGGACAAGATGTCGCTCTAGAACTGTGGTCACTGACGAAACGCGTATCTGGTGATTTAGACAGGACAGAGGAAGCGACATCTGGTCTGGTTAATCCAGGAGCACTGCATGGAAGAGAGGTTGGAAATTCAACGTTCAAGCATTAGAAAGGTGTTCAAGCAGGCACCCAGAGGAGCCAAGGGTGGACTGTATCCCAAGAGAAGAAAGGCAGTTGCCCCACAGAGTTTACACTTCTCTAAAAATGAATGTTTTATTTTAGAATAGTTTTAGATCTATAGAAAAATTATAAAGAGAGCCCAGAAAGTATCCATAAACCCTGAAGCCAGCTTCCTCTGTTGTGAATATCTTACATGAGTATGGTACATCTGTCACACTGAGTGGACCAATATTGATACGTTACTATCAACTGAAGTCCAGACTTTATTCAGATTTCCCCAGCTTCTTCCTAATGTCCCATCCAAGACACCATGTTACAGTTGGTCTTTGTATCACCCCAGGCTCCTCTTGGTTGTGACAGTGTCTCGGACTTGTGACCTTGACAGTTTAGGGGAGAATCGGTCAGACACTTGTAGAATGTTCCTCAATTTAAGTCTGTCTGATGTTTTTCTCATGACTAGGGTTAAGGGTTCTTAGGAGGGAGATCACAGAGGTAAAGTGCCATCGTCATCCTCTGTATATACTCGGCTTTCTGAATTATCATACATTTTGCATGTACCCCCTATTTATACCAAACAAACGTATCACCTACTCAAATATCACTAAAATGTAAATTTAAGGAATAAGGCAAGAAATGAAAGGATCGCTGAGCTGTGGTCTGTAGTTGAAGTACACAGAGTGACATAATCTGGGAGGAGAAAGGAGCTCAGAGAACCCACTCTGCAGGGGAGGAGGCTGGCACTAAAACTCTCACCCATCCAGTGTCGTGCAGTGGCAGGGCTGAGTGAGCACTGGACCAAGATCCTGAGTACTGTCCACAGTCTTTGCCATCTGACAGCCAGCCTCTCGGGCAGGCTTTCCAGGTCCCTTCTGTCCCGCAGTTTGGTCAGGTCAGCCACAGCTGCTTCTGTGATCAGGGACACAACTTCCAGCCCGCTGTGCCCAGAATCACTTGCCCTCCGGGAGCAAACTGGAAAGATTGGGGGGACAGGCGCCCCCTGGGCTCCCTGCAAGTCCTTGGTTTACCAATCCTGGGGCAGCTCTAGGCCAGGAATGCCTGCCTCCCGACCCGGCAGGCTTGGCCACAAGCCCCCGGGTGGCTGGTCCTCTTCCTCCCGAGCCCCCGCGGTGGCTCACCTGGTCCTCATACGGTTCTATTCCAATATCTTCCAGGTCTCCCAGCCGACACCCTGCAAGGCCACCGGGACCGCTTCATGGAGCAGTTCACGAAGTAAGTGGCTTATGGGAGAGAAATGAAGGCGAATCCAAAAAATGCTATAAAATCAATTCTTGCAAGAGCACATGCTTTTTAATGATTGAGGAACGAGGGTATGTGCATGGCAAAGTGAGGGCAAGTCACTAGGACAGCAGCAAACCTACCACTGGCTGGGGAAGCTTTCGGTTCTCTGATAAAGCCCATACATGCATGTAGAGGGTGGCAATTCCGTGCATCCATTCATCACCTGCTGTATGCCCAGAGCTTCACCCTCTGTTTCTTCTTCCTACATTCTCCTACCATGTATGGTCTTACACCATGTACGTGAAAAGCAACTCCCAAATATGAATCTCTAGCCGGGTCTTGACTCTGAATTCCAGTCTCATGTACCCAATTGCGCATCTGACATCCTGCACCAAACTATGCTCTAGATTTTCTTCCCAAAGCATTCTTTCCAGTCTTCTCTATCTCAGTAAATGCTTCCACATCCATTTAGGCCAGAGTTCTGGAACTCCCCATTTTCCTCATCCCCACCCCGCATGTCCAGTCCACCAGCAGGTCCAGCTGTTGCTCTGCAAATATATCTTGGCTTCGATCATAGCTTCCATCTCTCGGGCTGCCATTGTTGTGTGCCAAGACCTTCCAATATGGCGGACACCCTGAGCCTCCACTGCTGCGCCCTGCAATCCTGTCCTTCCTGAGCAGTTAGAGCAGCCTCATAAAGACAGCAGTCCCTTGCCCAGGACCTTCCAGTGGCTTCTGATTACACTGAGAATAAACTCCAAGATCTTCTCCATGGTCTACAAGGCCCAGCTTGCCATCTCTCACCCCGTCCCCAGGGTTTATAGGGTTCCAGCCATACCGGGTCTTCCTATTCCTGGAACGTACCCAGCACATTTCTCTGTCAGGGCCTTAGCACTTGCCGTTCCGTCTCCCGGGGCTGCTCTCCCAACCTCGCCAGCTCCAGATCATCTTCTTCCATCACCTCCTCACAAAGGCATCTCTGGCCTTAAATCTTTTGTTTTAAGATTTTATTTTATTTTATATTATTTTTGAGAAGTGTGCACATACGGGTTGGGGTGAGGGATGGGGGCGGGGGGGAGAGAGAAAGAGAAAGAAAGAATCTGAAGCAGCTTCCACACCCAGCAGAGCCCAGTGAGGGGCTGGATCCCACAACCGTGAGATCATGACCTGAGCCAAAATCAAGAGTCTGACTCTTAACGGACTGAGCCACCCAGGCCCCCCTTAAATCTTAGATCTCTTGTTTAAGTCGGGTCTTCTTCATCTCCTGTTTCTCCAACCCCACCCCCACCCCCCATATTCTCCATGCCAGCACCTTATTTGTTTCTTTCATGGTTCTTAGAACCAACTTTATTTCCGCTTGACTACCCATTCTTACGTCCCGAGCCCCTGATACGTGGCAGCCAACTACGCACAAATACTGGGATAAATTACCAAGCGAGGAAGCCACGTGTCTTGTCTACAAGAGGAAGTGCTTGTCGGACCGAGGAGTAAATTATTCTGTGCATTTGAGCAAGAAGATTCCTGGCGAGAGGGGAGGTAAAACAACTTCTTGTGTCCAAGAAGAGGGGAAGGAAGAGCAGGAGAGAGAGAACCCAGGTGCCGAGAAGGGCACGCTGGATTTGACCCTCTTGTTGTGCGTGCCCATTTCTTCATCCCTGACAATGGAGGAAAAATAGCTGCCCAAACCAGCAGCTTCTCCTGCTGGTTCTGAGCCACAGTCCGAGGACAAGTTCAGGGTTTTGCTCACCTCCCGGTTTCCTTATTCCATTTGAAAAGCCTCATATGTTTATTCTATAATAAATGACTTATTAAATCCTAGGAGACAGGCCCTGGGGCTGATTTCCTGGAATGGTAAATTCCAGTAGCTTATGAAAGCAGTGTGGCCTATTACTGTTGGCTCCAGCCCAGAAGGAAGGGGGATGTGTGGTCAGGTGGTTTTATTTCCTTTCGTGTTTTCCTAGCTTCTAAAAACCTCTGCCGTGAGCAGCTGCCTCACGTTCTCCTCTGCGCAGACCCAGCGGCTCCCAGAGGCCTTGGTTCGGTGTCCCCGAATTTGGGGAAAGCAGCAGTGACAACACAGGGGCAGTCCCAGCCTTGGGTTTGGAAGGGCTGACGTGAGACCCCCGGGGGTTTTAGTTTATTGGGTTGAACTGGAGGAGATTCTGAAAGAAGTTGCAGAGAGAGGCTGCTGAGACCCACGATCCTCTTTCCTCTCAGGAAATCTGTCTGGTGCTCTCTGCTTTCTTGGCCTTCCATGTTTCGATTGAAAACAGAGACCTGAAGACGAGAAAGAATAGTTGATTTCTTCACTCCCGTATCCATCCAAGATTAGGACACAGTGTAAATAGATTGTTTTCCTCCAATGAAGTCATGATGAGTTAATGCCTCTGTACATGGTACTGTGGTACCCGTAGCTCAGCAGGGCCTCTAGAAGCTTCTAGTCTAACTGGGGAAGTAACAACTAGCTCTAAAGCAGGGTGAATTAATTTAAAGATTTGCCTTAGTTTTTTTTTTTTTTTTTTTTTTTTACAAATAGTTTATTGTCAAATTAGTTTCCACATAACACCCAGTGCTCATCCCCACAAGTGCCCTCCTCCATGCCCACCCCCCTCCCCCCACTTTTTTTTTTTTAATGTTTGTTTATTTTTGAGAGAGAGAGATACAGAGCACCAGCAGGGGAGGGGCAGAGAGAGACACACACAAAATCTGAAACAGGCTCCAGGCTCCGAGCTGTCAGCACAGAGCCTGACGCAGGGCTCAAACCCACAAATTGCAAGCTCATGACCTGAGCTGAAGTCGGATGCTTAACTGACTGAGCCGCCCAGGTACCCTAAGGAGATTTACCTTAGTAATTAAGTTCCCTTCCCTTTTCTTATGGTTAGGTCGTTTATCCTCAGAGACAGTAAATTTATTTTTTGGGTTTTCTAAGCCAAACATTCCTGGGAAGAGACATCTGCCAGGAAACACCATAGATTCTGTGATGATCCAGATCTTCTTCTGGGATGATCCATTCATTCTTTCAGAGGATTCTATCCTTTGAGTCCCTCTCTCCTGTGAGGACTGGTTACAAATGACCTTCCCCTGTAGCATCATAATTGAATCCCAGTGCCATGGAAGCCATCTCCTAGACAGCCCACGCCTTTGGGCAGAGCAGGCAGCAGGAGAGCTGGGCGGCTGGAGTGTCCCCGACCTGGGGCTGGGGAAGGCGCCCAGCACCCCTCAGGCCCTTCTCCACCCCTAGGTTGAAAGATCTGTTCTACCGCTCCAGCAACCTCCAGTATTTCAAGCGGCTCATTCAGATCCCTCAGCTGCCCGAGGTAAGCGTGCCCGGCCCCCCCGGCCATGGGAGCTGCCGGGTCCAAGGTGCTCGTAGAGACCGGCAGGCCTGGTGGGTGATGCAGCTCGGGGATGTGTCTTCCCTCTTCAGAACCCACCCAACTTCCTGCGAGCCTCTGCCCTGTCAGAGCACATCAGCCCTGTGGTGGTCATCCCGGCCGAGGCTTCGTCCCCAGACAGCGAGCCGGTCCTGGAGAAGGATGACCTCGTGGACATGGATACCTCACAGCAGGTGGCGAGCACCTCTCTAGGACCTTGGCGGGGAGGGGGTGGAGGGGGGTTGGGGGGGCTTGAGCCCAGCAGGTGGCGCCCTTCCCATGGGTGGCCCTTCCAGCTGCCCCATATGCACAGGGGAGAGGGCGGGAGAGGCTCTGGCCAAGACCCTTTGGCTGTAACCAAGATGAGCTGCCATTTAACCCAAGTGCGAACCTAGACTCAGCCCCCTCCCCACTGCCCTGGAGTCTCCAGGAGAGACCGCAAATGGATTTGAACCCAGTTAAGAAAGAGTCCTTTTTCACATGTCACTCATCTGATACCCCCTCTCCCTCCCCTCCCTCCCCGCCAGAAGTCTCTGCATCTCTAACTTTGTCCTCACCTCTTTTTGGTCACCACAGAATTTATTTGACAACAAGTTTGATGACATCTTTGGCAGCTCGTTCAGCAGCGACCCCTTCAATTTCAACAGTCAGAATGGCGTGAACAAGGAGGAGAAGTGAGTCTGAGCTGGGCACAGGCAGGTGGTGCGGAAACTAGGTGGAGCTGGGGTCCGGCTCGCCACAGCTAACCTGGGCGGGATGCTTCGTGACACTCAGGTCCCCTAGAGAAATGTCTTGGCCCACAGCCATCGGCCCCTATGATCCCAGAGGGAAATCGAATGGGGCCGGAGTAACAGTGGACCCATGAGTGTGAGATTCAGATCTGGTAGCATCGAGGGTCATAGCGTATAATTTACGGGATTTCAAAGCATTTTCCCCAAATTAACACCAGCTTTTAACTTCCTCCCCTGATCTCCCAGCTCGCATTTAAAAGGAAAGGGATGGAGGCCCGGTGGAAGCAAACTTGTTCTCCTTCTGTTCCCAGGGATCACTTAATTGCTCAACTCTACAGAGACATCAGTGAGCTGAAGGCCCAGCTAGAGAACATGAAGACGGAGGTAGGACTCGGGCTCTGATCCGGTTCTGGGCTTCACCAGGACGTGACGTTCTCATACTAACTTCGCTTTGCAGACACACTTGTCGGACCTCATTTTAAGGGGGAGCTCATTAGTAGAAATGCCCAGACCAGACGGACCTGGTCCCCTCGTGGTCTTGGTGGCACTGCGTTTCCATTCTTCCTACCTCGAGAATGGCATCTAGGCCAAGCCCAGTGTCCCTGTGGTGCTTGGCGAGGAAGACCTGTTCTCTTCCCACGGCCATCGGAAGGTTTGATCTGTAGCTCTGGTGGCTGTTTGCAGAGTCCAGGCCAGTGACTAGCTAGGCTCACCCCTCAGGCCAGCTCGCCCACACTGCCCCCAGGCCACCCTAACAGGATCAGAGCTCCCCTGCTGTCACCCCGTGTTTGGTTGGGTGGCTTAGAATGAGCAAAAGCCTCAACTCCCACGAGGCCCAGTGGGAGTGGGCTTGTTAGGCAAACTCAGGTATTTATTGGATCGGCACTGGAAACCCTGGAGGACCCGCTCCCCCTGCCCAGCCTCGCCCAGCGGTGTGGGTTGTGGGGCTCATTGGCCAAGTCCATCCCACAGAGCCAGCGGGCCGTGCTGCAGCTGAAGGGCCGGGTCAGCGAGCTGGAGGCCGAGCTGGCGGAGCAGCAGCACCTGCGGCAGCAGGCGGTCGATGACAACGAGTTCCTCCGGGCAGAGCTGGATGAGCTCAAGAAGAAGCGAGAAGACACGGAGAAGGCCCAGCGGAGCCTGACAGAGATAGAAAGTGAGTCTGTCGGGCTGGGGCTGAGGGCGGGGGCCGCAGGGTCCGGCTAGGCTCGCGGGGCTGGGCGGCAGAGCCCCAGGCCATACATCTGTCCAGAAGAGCCGCCAGGAAGGACCCTCATGTTGCCAGTCTGAAGGGGGCGGGCTGGGGCCCAGCAGGTGGACAGCCCCACGTGCCGCGTTGCTCAGAACGCAGGGACGGGAACCAGGAGATGACAGTGGGGTGTCCAAAGGAGAGACAGCCTAAGAAAAACATAAAAGCCAAAAACACTGATGAAGCAAATGCTGTGTGTGCGAATGCTCAGTCAGCACAAATCAGTGCAGCCATCAGAATCAATTAGATTCCTTTTTTTTTTTTAATGTTTATTTTTGAGAGGGACAGAGAGTGTGCATGCACCAGTGGAGGAGGGGCAGAGAGAGGGAGCGATATAGAACCAGAAGCAGGCTCCAGGCTCAGAGCTGTTAGCCCAGAGCCCACCATGGAGATGGAACCCACGAACCGCGAGATCGTGACCTGAGCCAAGGTCGGATGCTTAACCGACTAAGCCACCCAGGCGCCCCATGAGTCAGGTGGATTCTTTTTTAAAGACCACTTCCCAGAAGAGTTTATGTCAGTAGGATTTCCCAAGGAGAAGAAGGTGTGTGCATTTGTGAAAAGAAAGGAGGATGTTCTAGGGACTCTGGCTTGTTGGAAGGAAGACACGGGGTCCCCCAGCAGGGGTCCATTGCTCACCTCGGCCCCTGACAATACAGGGAGAGCCCAGGCCAATGAACAGCGGTACAGCAAGCTAAAGGAAAAGTACAGCGAGCTGGTGCAGAACCACGCCGACCTGTTGCGGAAGGTAGGACCCCCAACCTGCCTCTTGCAGCCTGGGGCACCCCCCACACCACAGGGGAGACACGCTCCCATGCCTCCCTCGTCTTGTGCCCCACCTTTGATGCCAGCCCTGAATGGATTTCCCCCCATCTTTATCATTCTTCCTTTAAATACTTAAGCGTTGAGGAGCTGAAGACGACAGCTTTATTCTGACTTCTCTCTAGATAGAAAAGTGATTCCTGTGTCCAATAGCCTGAGTTGTCATTTGTTCTAGAAAGGAGATGTTGTCCCTGAGATGTTAAGCCTGCGATAAGCCCACTGTTCTTTGCCCTTCCAGAATGCAGAGGTGACCAAACAGGTGTCCGTGGCCAGACAAGCCCAGGCAGATTTGGAACGAGAGAAGAAAGAGCTAGAAGACTCTTTCCAGCGCCTAAGTGACCAGGCCCAGCGGAAGGTGAGGGGAAGAAGTGTGTGGGGAATGAGGGAGGGGCCTGCCCAAGTTGGAGGCAGGCCTGGAACATGATGCAGGTGGAAACACCTTGTCTTCTGCTCCACGGGCAGTAGAGGCGGGTTAGAGCCCTGCGCGCGCACCACAGGAGGCGTGAGGCAGGGACATGGCGTCTGGTGCACAAGGGATTAGAGGCCTGGAGTGACGAAGGGGGTCCAGCAGAGTAGGTACATCAGCGAAGGCTTGCCCAGGGTGAGTCGGGGAGGGTTGAGAGACGTAAAAGCACCTGGGAGACTTGTGACCAGGAGACCACCCTTGGCGGGGTGGGGGGGCAGTAAGAGATGTCAGGTGGGGGCGCCTGGGCGGCTCAGTCGGTTAAGCATCCAACTCTTGATTTCAGCTCAGGTCATGATCTCATGGTTTGTGGGATTGAGCCATGTGCTGGGCTCTGCACTGACACCACGGAGCCTGCTTGGGATTCTCTCTCTCCCTCTTTCTGTATCTCTTCCTTGCTCATGTGCATGCATGTGTGTTCTCTCTCTCTCTCAAAATAAATAAATAAACTTAAAAGAGAGAGAGACATGTGGAATGGGGAAAACTGAATGCCTTACGCTTAAGAGTAGTGCTTTTCAAGGCAGCTGGGTGGCTCAGTCAGTTAAGCGTCTGACTTTGGCTCAGGTCATGATCTCACAGTTCCTGTGTTCAAGCCCCACGTCAGGATCTGTGCTGACAACTCAGAGCCTGGAGCCTGCTTTGGATTCTATGTCTCCCTCTCTCTCTCTTCCCCTCCCCTACTGGCATTCTACCTCTGTGTCAAAATTAAATAAACATTAAGAAATTAAAAAAAAAGAATACTGCCTTTCACTTTTCTGTGACCCAGAGTAGGAAGTAAAAATGTCACAGAGCAGTCCTCAGCCTTACTGTGTGGATGCGTGTGGATATATTTTTTTGGTTGGTTTATTTCCTTTTTTTTTAATGTTAGCTGTGAAATGCTCTTCGAAAAATACCACTTAACAAAAGAAATTTTTAAAAAAGGGAATTATTTCCAGATGGCATGATGTAGCAAATTATCAGGTGTTGGGATGGCTGAATTAACAATCCGGCTCTGTATCAAATATACTTCAATTTAAATAATAAGAAAGAGCAACCTCCTATGTCCAAGAAAAAAGGCCTAGTTCTATTTTAATTAGTATTATAAGCTGAAGCGTTACATCTAAGAAATGTCCCTAAAAGTCCCGCCTTTGACATTCCACTTAGCCAGAAGAAGACTTATTGCCCTACTCAGGGCCCTTACCTCCTCCCACCCACTTTGGGGTGCAGCCAATCTTGTCTGCAAGAGAGAACACAAATCTCCCATTGACAGCTTAGGCTTTTTTTTTTTTTTTTTTAATGTTTAATTTTGAGAGAGAGAGAGAGAGAGACAGAAACTGAGTGGAGGGAGGGGAGGCAGAGAGTGGGAGACACAGAATCCAAAGCAGGCTCCAGGCTCTGAGCTGTCATCACAGAGCCCGACACAGGGCTTGAACTCACAGATCACAAAATCATGACCTGAGCCAAAATCAATCACCCAAACGACTGAGCCACCCAGGTGCCCCCTGTTTTTTTTAAGATTTTATTTTTCAGTAATCTCTGCACCCAACACGGGGCTCCAACTCACAACCCCGAGATTTAGAGTTGCATTCTCTACTGACTGGGCCAGCCGGGCACCCCAATAGCTTGGGGATTTTTACCTGTGTTTATCCCTTGGAAGCAGCACCTGGATCAGGGCGCCCCTGTGTGTCTTCTTTTTCAGACTCAAGAACAGACCGAAGTATTAGACAGCCTGAAGCAAGAACTTGCCACCAGCAAACAGGAACTCCAGCTTGTCCAAGGCAGCCTGGAAACTTCTGCGCAGGTGAGCATCACCTCCCTTTCTCTCCCTTATTTTTTTCCCTCTGGCTTTGGTGCTGCCGCCCCATGGGGGCCAGCTCTGTCTGGCAGCTGGCCATGCTGGTCCCATCCAGGCTCTGTGTGTGATTGGGGGAACAGAGGTGGTGGCTTAGAGGTATCACCGCTGTTCCATGTGGCCCGCGGGTGGGTCTGGACTCCTGGGAAGTGGACGGTTTGATTCTCCCTCTTCGACATCACAGTCAGAAGCCAAATGGGCGGCTCAGCTCACTGAACTAGAGAAGGAGCGGAGTGGCTTGGTGCACACGGTGGCCTGCCGGGAGGAGGAGGCATCCGCCCTTCGGGAACAGCTGGAACGCACCCAGCAGGAACTGTCCAGCACACAGGCAAGTAACAGACGTCCTCTGGGTGACCAGGGCCTTGGGCCTCGGTGATGTATCCATGGAGGCGGGGAACTGGGGACAGTCTGTGAAAACCATCAGGGCCTCTGGGCCGATTGGGAAGACATTCTGCAGGCACAGCTCTGCACGCCAGCTACTCTCGCCCGCAGAGAGCAGATGAGGGACAGCCAATCGGCCACCTTTTCACACGAGAAGAGCTGCACGTGGTCCTCCCTCCCCCGGCGTGGAGAATGGGTTACAGGAGGCCACCCCCATAGCTTCCTGTGTTGCACCCCTGCCCACACCTGTAGACCAAGGGAAAGGGTCGTTCTCTGTGGCAGACAAACTGGCTCGGGCCTTGTTAGCCACAACTTGAGTTAAGATGCCAGGAATCCCAGCTGCGTCAAGGTGGCTGCTGCTCGAGGCTCGTGACAGGGTCCATGTCAGATTCTCACCTCCCTGGACCATTTCTAGGAATCGATGTGCCAGCTCGCCAAGGACCAACGCAAAATGCTTCTGGTGGAGACCAGGAAGGCCGCGGAGCAGGTGATAGGAGCGGCCCTGAGGCAGCTGGAGGAACCCCCTCTGATCAGCTGTGCCGGGTCTGCAGGTACATCCCCCTCGCCTGGCCGCACACGCGAATGCTTACGGCCATTGCCATTGGGTGTTGACATTGAACCCCAGTGACGCTGAGCGCAGGGGTCCTCATCCTGCTGCCTGTCAGAGTCGCCTGGCAGTGCCCAGTCCCCACCAGAAGCTCGGTAGCCCAGGGCCTGGGTGGTAGTACTTTCTACAGCCGCCAGTTGTGATAAAGACTGTTCTGTGCAGTGGGGCAGGCTGACAAAACTCTCCCTGGGAGCAGAGCTCTGATAAACATTAAGTAAAAGATGTAAAAAAGAGGGGAGGGCCTTCGTGCGCGGTAGGTAGCAGAGCGTCCAGGCCCAGGATGTTGGTGACGTCATGGCTGTAGCTGTGTAGCTGCCGGCAAGGTAACGAGAGGCCCCGCTGAGAACAAGGCGGATGGAAGGAACAGCTGATAGTTGATTTTCATTACCAAATAGATCTCCATTTGGTGACGTGTGCAGCCAGGACTGTCCTACCTTATTCGGCAGGGAAGCCATCTGTGAGGAAACACAGCAGTCCTAAATGAAGGAGCATACAGTACCCCGTCTACCAGGGAAATGCCAGGAAATGGAGCAGCCGTGGGCGGGTTCTGAGAAGAGACTTTAGGAGCCGGGGGTGTGACAGAAGAGGACAGACATGAGGGGAAGAAATGTGGGGGTAGTAGTCTTACAAACAGCTGACGTTACCAGTGCTCACCACACACCAGCACTGTTCTAAGTGCTTTACATGCCTTGGCCCAGCAAATCCTCACAATGACGCCACAAGGCGGTGCCGTTACTCTGTTTTCAGGTGAGGAAGCTGGCACAGATGGCCTGAGATCATAGCCAGTGGCAGTGGGGCCAGGGGCCACACCTATGCAGTGTGACCTGAGTCCCCACATACTACCTCCTGAGGGACATGATCTCTGTGGACCAGTGCACAGAGGCACAGAGTGGGGACGGCTGTGTTATGCGCATAGCACGAGCCTAGATTAGCCTCACAGAGCCCAGGGTCTGGGCTCAAGAGTAATGAGAGTCCAAGGGCCTTGAAAGACTTAACAGAAGGCCTGGATTTGATTTGGCAGCAGTAATGAGAAGGGAGAAGCTGACTCTCGGCTGCTGATGGGATTGCCCTGGTTCTTGGTTCGGGGCCAGATGGGCCCAGAAGCACGGCCTTTGAAGCTGCATTAAGAGAGTCATGTACCTGTGGAGTCAACCATCTTTTCTCTGCACCCCTCCCCCCCATCTTAGGGCAGCTCCCACAGGGCTGCGGCCACTCGCTAGGCAGGCTCATCCCCCAGACGGCTTGACCTAACAGGGAGAAAGCGATTCCAACAACAGTGGCTCTGACTCTGCCCTGTCTCCCCTCTCTCACAGATCACCTTCTTTCCAAGGTCAAGTCTGTTTCCAGCTGCATTGAGCAACTGGAACAAAGCTGGAGCCAGTATCTGGCCAGCCCAGAAGGTAAGAAAGGCGAAGGATAGGGTCTGTTGCTAGTGACCGCTGGGCAGCGTTCAGAAACGCTTGCGTGTGGAAATAGCATGTGGTCCCTATGCTGCAGGAAAGGGGTGCATATACCTTGTCAAGCAGGGGAGGAGGGAGGGAGGTAAGGGCCCGTGAACAGCACCAAGAAACCTTCTTTCCACTCCCGGCAGAGATCAGCGAGCTTCTCCGCTCGGTAACCCTCCTGGCGCACCTGACCAGTGACACCATGGCTCACGTTAGCAGCACCTGCCTTCGAGCCCCGCCGGAGCCTGCTGACTGTGAGTACCGGGGCCACCGGGGCCGGTCTTGTGCGCAGTGGGGAGCCAGGACCCTCAAAAGCCTTTGTTGTCTTGCATCTCCAGCACTGACCGCGGCCTGCAAGCAGTTTGGCAAGGAAACCCTCACCTATCTGGCTTTCCTGGAGGAAGACGGGACGGTTGAGAATGACAGCACAGCCGTGAAGAGCTGCCTGAGCAAGATCTCTGCCATTGGCGAGGTAGGACCCGTGTTACCACCGGGGGAGGTGACAGTGGTTCTTGGTTGAGTCCCGGAGATTGGCCGGGGAGTCAGTGATGTGCGAAGCCAGTTGTTTCTGTACTTTCCACTTGATTCCAGAAAGTAACAGTTGGGGTGCCAGGGTGGCTCAGTCGGTTAAGCGTCCGACTTCGGCTCAGGTCATGATCTCACGGTTCGTGGGTTCGAGCCCCATGTTGGGCTCTGTGCCGACAGCTCAGAGCCTGGAGCCAGCTTCAGGATCTATGTCTTCCTGTCTCTCTGCTCTTCCCCTACTCGTGCTCTGTCTCTCCAAAATAAATGAACGTTAAAAAACAAACTCTTTTTAAAAAGTGAGCGTTGATGCTGAAAAAACTGACCCTGCTGACCGACTTTCCAGTTATATTTCATTCATTGGCTGTGAGCTGAGAACCTACTGTGTGTTCATCATCATGCTAAGCAATATCAGAAGAATAAGCATAGTTTCTCTGTTTTTGACGATTTGTATCTGGTTGGGCAGATAGCACCTAACGTGGACATAGAGTATTTATTGATTTAATAAAGATGTAGCGAGCGTGCCATGCATAGTGGGGATTGCGGTAGATGTAGTTATACAGAGGCCAATGAGACATCGTCTCTCTGGGAAAGAAAAATCATGAAATCACCCAAGTTGATGCAGTGGGACAGAGCGGTCATCAACTCCATTTTAAGAGTCCAGTACAAGGCAGCATTTACTTAATTCCAAAAATGTGTCGTAATGACAAGTCCAGGGAGGGAAGAGATCAGGGCCAGAGTTCCAATTTTCACCATCCCTCATCTGAACTTTTCTTTTTTTTAATGTCTTATTTATTTCTGAGAGAAAGAGAGACAGCATGAGCAGGGGAGGGTCAGAGAGAGAGGGACATACAGAATCTGAAACAGGCTCCAGGCTCTGAGCTGGCTGTCAGCACAGAGCCCAAGGCGGGGCTCAAACCCACAAACTGTGAGATCTTGACCTGAGCTGAAGTTGGATGCTTAACTGACTGAGCCACCCAGATGCCCCTCATCTGAACTCTTAAAACAGCCTTCTGATTTGTTTTTCTGCCTCTGGTCTTTTTCCTCTGATCTCTTCCGAAAACAAAGAGCTGCTTACAATTCCTCATTTGATAACAAAACTCAAATCATGTAATGTGACATGCAAGGACCATCACAATCTGGCGCTTATTCACCTTTCTGGGTCCCTCTCACCCTTTACCGCCTTCACCTTACAGTGTTGGTGGCTGGCGTTGCAGGTTACCTGCCTGCCTGTCTCCTTCCCCCATGAGTCCTCAGAGGTAGAGCCCATACCTTTCTTACAAGGTCTCCTTGGTCCCTGGCATGATACCTGGCAGGTGGTTTACACCCATTGAATGTTTAATTAATTGAATGTGCACATAGGGAGAGCAAAGCAATTACAAAGATCGGATGGGGAAGAAGGCTCACACTGGGGAGAAGTGGGCGACGAGGTAGGGATCCATGAATGTCTGGATGAAGGAAGACTGGATAACTGTGAATTGCTAACCCTTTCAATAGAATGACATGATCCTGGAGGTATGCTAGTGTTACTAAGTTCCTGATGGCAGGCTTGACAGCATCACCACAGGCCGTCCTTTGCTGGAGATAGGGCATCTTCTCCAGTGCCATGCAGAACCCCATCTCAGCATGCACACGCAAAGCATGTAGGACGCCGTGAGGTGAGGAAGTGAGAATCAAGTTAATTTTAAAAGCGAAGTAAAGTGTGAGAGCAAGATCCTGGGCCAGTTTCCTTTCTGGCAGTAAGACTGACCAAATGTTTAGAAGCTCTTCCCAGCACAGGACATGGAAAAAGCTAAATACAATTTGGGGGGTAGGGAGGGATGTTAATGAATCTGAACTGGCCGAAAACTAAGGAAATTCTCAGAATCAGAAACCAAAAGGAGGCAAGAACCAGTATTTGTCCATCATCTTGACCTAGAGCTTGGATTTCAATGGGCCACACATACAGAGGAGAGTAAAAACACGAAGCCTAAGCCCAAGTAGGGTAAAAGCTTGGAATGCAGAGACTTTTTCCCCAAAATGGAACTCCAAAAGGTCACACCCTTTTACTTGGGTCACACGCAGAGTGAATGGGGGAAAAGCTTACTCTGCTGAAGAGAGATCTTATCTCAACCTCCATTGTAGGAGGAGAAGGAAACATGGCTACCTAGGGAGTTTCTACCCACAAGCCATCTTTCCATGGTTTCAGGGCCCAAATATACTGCTTGTGTGGCTTGAAAAAACCCAAACAGAAAATTAAACGTAGGGTGCCTGGGTGGTTCATTCAGTTAAGCATCCAACTTCAGCTCAGGTCATGATCTTACAGTTTGTGAGTGTGAGCCCCGTGTTGGGCTCTGACAGCTGGGAGCCCAGAGCCTGCTTCAGATTCTGTGTCTCCCTCTCTGCCCCTCCCCCGCTCACACTGTCTCTCAAGAAAGAAATTTTAAAAAATATTAAATTTTTTTTATTAGAAAAAAAGAAAGAAAATTAAATGTAACATAGTCAGGTTTTTGGGAGCCCGGTACCTGGCAGAAGCAGTTCCAAATGGTCTCTGAAGGAATGTACTTGGAACCTAAATCCCAAAGAACTTTCACAAAGTCCCAAGGCACATCAGTTCACCATGAGTGTGTTTGATGTGTTCCAGAACCTTTTGTATTTAAGTTTGTTTATTTTTAAGAGACAGAGCATGAGCAGGGGAGGGGCAGAGAGGGAGAGAGAGAGAATCCCAAGCGGTCTCTGCGCTGACAGCGTGAGATCATGACCTTAGCTGAAGTCAGACACACTTAACCGACTGAGCCACCTAGGCAACCCCAAGAACTTTTTAAAAAGCATTAAAAGAGTGACCAAGGATTAAGGTATTTTCAAAAGTCATCAGATATATTTGAAAAACAACCACAGGACTTCTAGAAATGAAAAATATAATCATTGGAAGTCTACTCAGTATATAGATTCAACAGCAGATTAAACAAAGCTGGAGAGGGGCCCCCGGGTGGCTTAGTCGGTTAAGCGTCCGACTTTCGCTTAGGTCATGATCTCGCGGTTCGTGGGTTCGAGCCCCGCGTCGGGCTCTGTGCTGACTGCCAGCTCAGAGCCTGGAGCCTGCTTCAGATTCTGTGTCTCCCTCTCTCTCTGGCCCTCCCCTGCTCACGCTGTCTGTCTCTCTCTCTCCTAGAAATAAATAAAACATTAAAAAAAAATTAAAAAGAAAAAGCTGGAGAAAGAATTGGTGGACTGGATGATGGAACTGAAGGAATTACAGAATGTGGCACAGATTTTATAAACTAGAGTACAGAGATTATGTGTAGAGTGGTTAATCAGGGTTCCAGATGAAGACAATAGAAAGACTTTTCTCCCCCAAGTAGCATTTTTAGTTCTATATGTTATAGACTTTTCTTCTACACCTTACTTTTTCCAGCATTCTGTGTATGACGGTCATCCATGCAGATATATTCTTTCTCACTGCTCTGTAGTAGATTGTCGTGTAATTATAGCTCAAGTTATATTTCTATTATATATCTGTTTATATTTATCTATCTGTTACGTAGCTAGATTATTGTTGGTAAACATTTGGGTTCTTTCCAGTTTGAGGCTCTCACGAATGTGCCATATGTACTCGTGTACATATCTCCTGATGGAAGAGTTTCTCTAGCTCATTTGCCTAAGGATAGAATTACTACACTATAGGGGCGCCTGGGTGGCTCAGTTAGCTAAGTGTCTGATTCTTGGCTTCAGCTCAGGTCACAATTTCACAGTTTCATGAGTTCGAGCCCCACATCAGGCTCTATGCTGACAGCACAAAGTCTGCTTAGGATTCTCTCTCTCTGCTTCTCTCTGCCCCTTCCCCACTCAGTCTCTCTTTCTCGAAATAAATAAATAAACTTAAAAAAAAAAAAAGAATTACTGGGGTGCCTAAATGGCTCAGTTGGTTAAGCGTACGACTTCGGCTCAGGTCATGATCTCAACGGTTCATGGGTTCGAGCCCCGCATTGAGCTCTGTGCTGACAGCTCAGAGCCTGGAGCCTGCTTCAGATTCTGTGTCTCCCTCTCTTTTTGACCCTCCCCTGCTCACGCTGTCTCTCTCTCTCTCTCTCTCTCAGAAATAAATAAAAAACATTAAAAAAAAGAATTACTACATTTTAGGACAAATCTCACACACAGAATGCCAAGCAAACAAGCAAGTCATACGAAAATACATACAGTAGGATTCCTTTTAAATAAAGACCAATAATGCATACTTAACATTATACTGTTTAAAGATACATTCTTACAGAGCTTTAAAAAAAACCATGATAAGCGTTTTCCTGAATTCTGTGTTCATCTGAAGGCAGGGAGTAGGGATGGCAGGACATGGAATTAGGGCAGGATACAAAAGAAATTTCAGAGGTACTGATGTTTCTTAAGCTGTTTCTTTTTTTTTTTTCTTTTTTTTTTTTTAATATTTTTATTTATTTCTAGGAGAGAGAGAGAGACAGCGCGAGCAGGGGAGGGTCAGAGAGAGAGGGAGTCACAGACTGAAACAGGCTCCAGGCTCTGAGCTGGCAGTCAGCACAGAGCCCGACGCGGGGCTCGAACCCACGAACCACGAGATCATGACCTAAGCGAAAGTCGGACGCTCAACCGACTAAGCCACCCAGGCGCCCCTCTTAAGCTTTTTTTTTAACGTTTATTTCTGAGAGACAGATTACGAGCAGGGGAGGGGTAGAGAGAGAAGGAGACACAGAACCCGAAGTAGGCTTCAGACTCTGAGCTGTGAGCACAGATTCCCAAAGCAGGACTCGAACCCACAAACTGCAAGATCATGACCTGGGCCAAAGTCAGATGTTTAACCGACTAAGCCACGTAGGTGCTCCATTTCTTATTCTTTAGTTTTTATTTTTTTTGTTTTTTTGGGGTTTTTTTTGTTTGTTTTTTTACAAATAGTTTATTGTCAAATTAGTTTCCACATAACACCCAGTGCTCATCCCCACAAGTGCCCTCCTCCATGCCCATCCCTCCTCCCCCCCACATCCATCAGTCCTCAGTTTTTGTCATCGTTCAAGAGTCTCTCATGTTTTGCCTCCCTCCCTTTCCCCACCATTTCCCCCTTCTTCTCCCCCTTTTTACTCCGTCAAGTTCCTCCTAATCCTCCTATACGTGCAAACATATGGTATTTGTCCTTCTCTGCCTGATTTATTTCGCTCAGCATAACACCCTCAAGGTCCATCCATGTTGCTACACATGGCCAGATTTCATGGTTTCTCATTGCCATGTAGTATTCCATGGTATAGATAAACCACATCTTCTTGATCCATTCATCTGTTGATGGACACTTAGGCTCTTTCCATGTTTTAGCTATTGTGGAGAGTGCTGCTATGAACATTTCTTATTCTTTAAACCATTCATACCTGTTTTATACTCTTGGAAGTATAACACATAATGTTTTCAGAATTCACAGACTTTGCCATCAGACCCAAGTTCAAATCCCTGCTCTGCCATTCATTAACAGTGTGACTGTGGTCAAGCCATTTGACCTCTCTGAGCCTTGGCTTCCCATCCGTAGAACAGGAGTAGTAACTGCCTCATTATGATTGCTGTGAACGCAGAGTTAAATAAGAGGCAGAGTGTCTGGTTGGAAGGCATCACCCACATCTGAAGGGGTTTTTTGACATACCTCCCAAGCCTCAAATACAATCGACACAGTGCAACTGTGACGTCAGGGTCCAAGCATCCACAACTGAATGGCCTTGTGGGATTAGGCAGAGTGGCCTTCTAGAAGGAGGGGGGTTTTCAGTGAAAGAGTATGGAGCATGAGGGTTTACGCAGTAGCGATTTCTAGACGAAGCCTGGGCAGGACGCCCCTCCGTGGGTTCTAGAAGCATGTTGCATGGTGGGACCTTCCTCTCCTCCCTTCTGCCACCATGTAAGGATCTGCTGGGGAGAAATAGAGAGGAAATCAAAGTATCATTTCAGCCTCTGTGCTGCTGTTCACAGGAGCTCCTGCCCAGAGGCCTGGACATCAAACAGGAGGAGCTGGGGGACCTGGTGGACAAGGAGATGGCCGCCACTTCAGCTGCCATTGAAACTGCTACGGCCAGAATAGAGGTATGGAAGCGTCTGCCACATCTCCTAAAGCGAGGCTCTTGCAGGTTCCATTGCGTGACATTGCCTATTGGACGTATCTCAATTGTTCATTGAGGCCGTAGACGGCCCCTGCAAAACCAACCCAAGCCCAGACTCCCCAGGATCCCCGAGGGATAGAAAAGGAGAAGGTCATCATGTCCTTTGGTGGGAGGCCATCCTGCATTACAGTCCCAGATGGACCACTTGTTAGTCATATGACTTGTGATAGATTGTTCCGTTAACCTTGCTTGGATTCCATTTCTAGATGGTGGCGGTCATACTAGTTCTTGCCTCAGAGGGGCATTGTAAGAGTTAAATGAGATAGCGCACGTTTATCTTCATGCCAGGCACTAACGAACCAACAGTAACGATTGTCTCAGGGGAAAGCTGAGTGGGCACCGTCGGAAAGGTCGCCTGTTGCTCCTTTGGTGGAAGGCTCAGCCTGCCCACCTTGGTTTGAACACCTGCCTCCTAGCAGCTCCCTGCACTGGCAGGGTGCAGTTATCTCTGAGTTCTGTGCACGTGAGCCCAGGTGCTGGGAAGTCAAGACAGACGCTCACGGACGGTAGGGCCAGCCTGCCCGGGCTGCTTCTCGCTGAATAGATCGGAGGCCTGGGCTCTTTTCCCGACTTACCAGGATGTGGATGGGTGTTTCTGGATTTGGGTTCCTCGGCCACCACGGGATGTCGGATGCAAAGTGCTTCAGGATGCCAGCGAGTGCTCAGGGCCCAGGATACATTGAGATACCCTGCTTGTTTTTAACAGGAGATGCTCAGCAAATCCCGAGCTGGGGACACAGGAGTCAAATTGGAGGTGAACGAAAGGTCAGTCCACAGCATGGTGGCACCTCAGTGATCGGGATAAGTCTCTCCTGCATTGGATTGTATTAGTTAGGATAGAACATTAGCAGCCACTGGCATCAGCTGAGTCTGTGTAATTGTTGAGAGTGGTTTTTTTTTTTTAATTTTATTTTTAATGTTTTTTATTTATTTCTAAGAGGAAGAGAGAGAGAGAGAGAGACAGTGTGAGCAGGGGAGGGTCAGAGAGAGAGGGAGACACAGAATCTGAAGAAGGCTCCAGGCTATGAGCTAGCTGTCAGCACAGAGCCCGATGCGGGGCTCGAACCCATGAACCATGAGATCATGACCTGAGCCTAAGTCAGACGCTTAACCGACTGAGCCACCCAGGCGCCCCAAAAGTGGTATTCTTTATAATATTGCTGTTGCATTTTAGGGGAAAAGAAACCCCAAGAAGCATCATATAAACTGTCCATGGTCAAGCCTCCTCACTTGCACACCTTTCCTCCAAGGCTTCACCACACAGCCCCCCACCCCCCGTATACCCATCCCACGTTTGCCTGGGTTGAAGCATGAAAAAGAAAATCGTCTGCTTCATTGCTCTTGATCTCCATTCTGTGTCCCTGACCTTTTTTTTTCTTTCTTTCCCTAGGATCCTGGGCTCCTGTACGAGCCTCATGCAAGCTATCCAGGTCCTGATTGTGGCCTCTAAGGACCTCCAGAGAGAGATAGTGGAGAGTGGCCGGGTAGGTGTGGCTGTGATCCCCTGGACAGGGGACCAGACATCATTCACAGGCTCCAGTTCCCTCAAAGGCTCCGTCTACTCCATGCATTCATCCGCATTCAGTCGCATCCCCGGCTGCTGCCATCTTGTCCCATGTGCCCATCTCAGGGCGTGGTCCCCTCTCCCCTGGCGAAGTGCAGGTGCCACGGGAAGAAGCTGGGGGAGCTGCCAGGTCCCCAGGGAGCAGGGAGCCCCAGCCTTCAGCGGCAGGCTCATTATCCCAGACGCCATCCCCAGATCCTGCTCTGGAAACCCCGTGCGCCTCACAGGTCTGGGCCCTTGGAGGAGGAAAGGAGGGCTTTTGAAAACTGGGCAAATCGGGTGCCTGGGTGGCTCAGTCGGTTAAGCATCCAACTTCAGGTCAAGTCAGGATCTCACAGTTCGTGGGTTCAAGCCCCGTGTCGGGCTCTGTGCTGACAGCTAGCTCAGAGCCTGGAGCCTGCTTCAGATTCTGTGTCTCCCTCTCTCTCTGACCCTCCCCTGCTCACACTGTCTCTCTCTCTCTCAGAAATAAATAAAACATTAAAAAAAAAAAAAAGAAAAGAAAACTGGGCAAATTAGAAGAGCCAGCCTGCCACTGACCTTTCCTGGTGGGTGCAGCCATGTCTGTCTCTGACGGCAGAATCTGCTCCTCACAGACGGACTCTACCCCGGTCTGTGGTCAATGTCATCACTTGGCTTTCTCAGTCCTCTGCTGGCATTCCTGTCGTCATGTTTCCTTCTCACATCCTGCCTGCAGTGCGGCTCAGGAGATGGAAGCCCAGGCAGGGATTCCCGAGCCCGAAAACTATCCCTTATTTTAACATTTATTTATTTACTTTGAGAGAGAGGGGGAGGGGGCAGAGAGAGAATCTTAAGCAGGCCCCACGCTGTCAGCACAGAGCCCGACGCGGGGCTCGATCCCACAAACTGTGAGGTCACGACCTTAGCTGAAACCAAGAGTCAGATGCCTTACTGACTGCACCACCCAGGCGCCCCCTGAAAACTGTCCTTTAAAGAACAAAGCCATATCTGCTGTGATGGTGGTGCTTTTTACCAGTCCGGGAGGGCATGGTTTCTCCCCACCCCCCAAAATAGGGAGGGAGGCTGAGTAAGGAGAACCTGGAGAGTCTAAGACTACCATCTTAGAATTTGGAAGTGGAGGATGCTTCCAAAGCAAGGAAACATTTTAAAATTCCAAGCAGAAATCATTTGCTTAAATTATTCACTGTGTAGTCTCCTCTTGTGGCAAATCGTGGCAAGCGGTTGGACTCCTGTCTGATTCTGTTGTTCGTATATATACGTGACTGTGTATATATACTCTTATCTACACGATGTAGAAATGTGATCTAATAGAAGTGCTATGGGCTTTGGAGTCAGAAAAGCCTGGGATTTACTTCCCTATTTCCTGCATGAACTTGAAAAGTATTGTTGCCTTTCTGACTCTTAGTTTTGTCATCTGTAAAATGGGATGATAATACTTACCTCTTGGGGTTACTATGAGGTCTATATGGAGAAATATATATATATAAGCACCCTGCGGGGTGCCTGGGTGGCTTAGTTGGTTAAGTGTCCGACTTTCGCTTAGGTCATGATCTTGCGGTTCGTGGGTTTGAGCCCCGCATCGGGCTCTGTGCTGACTGCCAGCTCAGAGCCTGGAGCCTATTTCAGAGTCTGTATCTCCCTCTCTCTCTGACCCTCCCCTGCTCACGCTGTCTCTCTCTCCTAGAAATAAATAAAAATTTTAAAAAATAAAATTTAAAAAAAAAAAGCAAAGCACCCGGCACACAGTAGGCACTCAATAAAAGCTGGCCATTATTATTTTTCACTTCCTTAGGGAACAGCATCACCTAAAGAGTTTTATGCCAAGAATTCCCGTTGGACGGAAGGACTCATTTCAGCATCCAAAGCTGTGGGCTGGGGAGCCACTGTCATGGTGTAAGTGTCTGTCGCTCCCAAGGCTCCTCACCCCCACCCCCATTCCATTGACCCAATGCAGAGAATAGCCAAGGGAAAATATCTGCCCCTTAGAAATGAATTGTTGATAGGGAAGTCAACAGGACTAAAACTTTTTTTTAATGTTTCTTTTTGAAAGGCAGAGTGGGGGAGGGGAAGGGCAGGGAGAGACAGAGACACAGAATACAAAGCAGGCTCCAGGATCCGAGCTGTCAGCATAGAGCCCGACGTGGGGCTCGAACTGATGAGTCTTGAGATCAAGACCTGAGCTGAAATCGGACGCTCAACCGACTGAGCCACCCAGGCGCCCTAATAGGAGTAGAAGTTTAAAAGGAAACCTGGATCTCCTTGGCAGCACAGGGGTAGAGCAGGTAGGCTGTGCTCTCTGAAAAAGCCAGGGTGATGGGGGAGGTCTAGAGGTGGGATCGTGGGGCGCCTGAGTGGCTTAGTCAGTTAAGCGTCCGTCTTTGGCTCAGGTCATGATCTATCTCACAGTTCGTGGGTTCGAGCCCCCCATCGGGCTCTGTGCTGACTGCTCAGAGTCTGGAGCCTGCTTCAGATTCTGTGTCTCCCTCTCTCTCTGACCCTCCCCTGCTCACACTGCCTCTCTCTCTCTCAAAAATAAATAAAACATTAAAAAAAAATTAAGAGGTGGGATCATAAGGAATTGGAGCCGTCGGTGACATAATGTCTCTTGTCCCTTCCTGACTACCAGGGATGCAGCTGATCTGGTGGTACAAGGCAGAGGGAAATTTGAGGAACTAATGGTGTGTTCACATGAAATTGCTGCTAGCACAGCCCAGCTCGTGGCTGCGTCTAAGGTAGGAGCCGCGCACGACTCGCCGGGGCACCGTAAGGGCAGGGAGGTTAGAGATACTCGGACCGTGGATCCTGCCCCAAGAACAGAGGATTTATCCAGGGTCCACACGGTTGGGTCCCACATTAAAATTCTGCCTCTCAAGGATCCCAAACTACCCTCCTCTGAGAGCCTTTCATCTGTCAGCAAGGAGCCCCTCTGCCCAGCTCGCCACGTGACCTCCTCTTGGCTTTCATCACTTTTGTAACTAGTGGCCTTTGAGGGTCCCAGCCATGCCAGCCTCTGATTAACAGTCACGGCGATCAAGGAGCACTTCAGGGATATGTCAGTGCAGCAAGCTGGTCACCCAGCTCAGCTCTGCAGTTCCGCCACCAATGTCTGCCTCTCCTGAAGAGTCTCTGCATTTGAATCATTGCCCCAGCTAATCGTAACAAAGCTTGTTACCAAAATTTGTCTGTGAGTTTTATAGTACCCCAGGGAGTGTTCTTATCGTCCTTATTTACCATTACCCCAAATTAGTTTCCACAACTGGGACAGTTTATCAGAACAACCAGGAAAGCTGGAGACTGAGGCCACCGAATATGCTGGGGAGTTGACCCCGGAGGCAGTGATTTTTAAGAAGTTGATTGGTGACCATGGCGGGTACCATGTTTGTCAAGAACTATCGGACCGACTGTTTGACGCAGTCGCCGCCACTGTATTTTGTGTGAACCTCAATCCGTATTTTGTGGTCCTGGCAGGTGAAAGCTGATAAGGACAGCCCAAACCTGGCCCAGCTGCAGCAGGCCTCTCGGGGAGTGAACCAGGCCACCGCCACTGTTGTGGCCTCAACCATTTCCGGCAAATCACAGATCGAGGAGACAGGTAGCCTTCCGGAAGCAATGCTTTTCTTACCCATCTCGTTCAGCTATTTTTTTTTTTTTTCTAGGAGAAAGAGAGAGAGAGACAGCGTGAGCAGGGGAGGGTCAGAGAGACAGGGAGTCACAGGCTGAAACAGGCTCCAGGCTCCGAGCTGGCAGTCAGCACAGAGCCCGACGCGGGGCTCAAACCCACGAACCGCGAGATCATGACCTGAGCGAAAGTCGGACGCTTAACCAACTAAGCCACCCAGGCGCCCCAGCTATTTTTTTTTTTTAACGTTTATTTCTGAGAGACAGATTACGAGTGGGGGAGGGGTAAAGATAGGGGGAGACACAGAATCAGAAGTAGGCTCTAGGCTCTGAGCTCTCAGCACAGAGCCCGACGCGGGCCTCGAACCCACGAACCATGAGATCATGACCTGACCCGAAGTCAGACGCTTAACCGACTGAGCCACCCAAGCGCCCCCCCTCACCGTTCAGCTATTCTTTATGTCCTCTTTCATGATCCCAGTGTCCCACAATTCTGTTTCCGAATTCTGTACTGTTCATCGTTCCACACACATACTTACATTCTCATAAGGGGGGACACCTCATACATGTGCTAGTTGTATCACCATGGCAACAGGCCTTAAGGTAGATTTTCCATTTAGTGATGTCTCTGGATTCGGTTATGACTCTCCAGGCCTGGCTGTCTTGCGGGGTAGGGTTCTGAGCCTCGTTACCCTTTCATGGCACTTCCGCCCCATCCGTCCCTCAGTGACTTTCAAGTGTGTTTGGAAACTGGCAAACCAAGCATTTCAGCAGGGCACAGGCAATCAGCCACCTCTCAGGGGGAGTCAGCCATGGGCATTATCTGACAAGACCTTCCCTCTCTCCTTACAGACAACATGGACTTCTCCAGCATGACATTGACCCAGATCAAACGCCAGGAGATGGATTCCCAGGTACGATTCCCGCTTCTGAGTCCACTGTCTGTTGCCAGTGACATCAATCCCAAATATTATCCTCATAGAGAGAAGCCAGTGGGGGGGCGGGGGAGAGTCTTGGGGAGGAAGCAAACACAGACGGACAGTAGCCCAGGTCTGAATGCAAATGATACTGGAAGGGCCAGTCGAGGCAAAGACAGATGACGGGTTAAGATCTGAATCTTAACTCTTGCTCACTACCGCCCCTTTCAATGTTACCATCAGGGGTTTCCTAGCCGATGTCAACTAGTATTTAATGTCTTACAATCGACATTTTTTTCACTGAAGTGTAGTTGACATACAATGTTACATTCATTTCAGGTGTCCATGTAGTGATTCCACAATTCCATGTGTGGTCCCTATCTGTCACCATGCAACAACATGACATTATTATTTCTTATGACAATAGTATTGACCATATTCCCTGTGCCTATGACTTATTTATCTCATAACTGGAAGCCTGGACCTCTTAATACCGTTCACCTACTGTACCCATCCCTCTACCTGCTTCCCCTCTGGCAGCCGCTGGTTTGTTCCCTGTCTGTGGCTGCTTTTTTTGTTTTTCAGTATTTTCTTTAAACTTCTTCTATGAATCATTGTGTATGACCTTTGGTTTAAAAAAAGAAAAAGCGATACGCTGAGAACCCATCAAAAGGCAATGCCATTACCCCTGATTGTTTAGTAAAGTTATGACATCCAAAGGAATAGGAATCTATGGAATCCTGAAAAAAATAGGAATCCGTCAGCATCCTGACATCCTTGTTCCAGAATTAAGGCTTCTAGTCTTGGAGTAAAGTCCAGGTTGAGACTGCTGTATGTTTCTCTCTCGGCATCTTCTCGAAAAAGTCACATGGCCAAATACTGGAAGAACTGAGGTCGGGCTTGAGTCCCCACTCTCAATGCTGTCTTGCTTTCTGGTCTCATCCAGCCCCTCTTGACTGCAGATCCCATCTGTATGCTGATAAGTACCAGAGTCTTCTCCCCAGCCTCCATCTTCTTGAGCTCTGTGCTTGTCCAGCTGCCTGCTTGATCCCTCCTCTTGATGCCACATACATCTCTAACTTAATGGGTCCAAACCAGGGCCCACTCAGATCTGTCCCTCCCGTTTGCTCCATCTCAGTAACTGGAACGCTCCCCCCCACCCCCCAGACCTGGGTGGCGGAGACCCAGGAGGTGTCCTTAGGTCCTCTCTTCTCCCTCTTCCTTCTACAACCAGTCCCCCAGCAGGTCTGTCAACTCTGACTCTCTAGGCCTGAACCTTCCCCCTTTTTTCTATCTCCCTAACCTAGCCTAAGCCACCATTGTTTCTCTCCTGGTGAACTACTGCAAAAGCAACTTAACCTTAACGTATGCAAGTGTTTGTTTCCAAGTAGTCCGTGGCAGAGACCGGGGAGGTGGGGCAGTTGGGGCAGAGAATAAAAAAGGGCATTGATGAGACAGGTCCAGCCCTGGCTTGACAATTGGTTGGAACTTGTGAAGGCACATGGTGGAGTTCACCATACCATCTCCATTTCTCTGTATATGTTCTACATTTTGCATAATCAAAAATTTGAAAAGAAATATAAGGAACCACCTAACTGGGCCTCATTGCTTCCACTCTTGCTCCCTACAGTTTGTTCAGGTTCCGTGTGTATATATATATATATATATATATATGTATATGTATATATATATATATGTATATATATGTATATATATATTTTTTTTAAGTTTACTTATTTACTTAGAGAGAGAGCGAGGAAGCACACACACGTGAGTGGGGGGGGTGGGGTGGGCAGAGAGTATGAGAGAGAATCCTGAGCAGGCTGCAAGCTGTCAATACAGAGCCCAACATAGGGCTTGAACTCACGAGCGGTGGGATCATGACCTGAGCTGAAATCAAGTCACGCTTAACTGCCTGAGTCACCCAGGTGGCACCAATTCTACGTATCTTAAAAGCATAAAGATAAAGATAAAAAACCATTTCATGTCCCTGCTTGAAATCTTCCAGTGGCTTTCCTTTCACACTTGTTAATATCCAAATTCCTGACCCCAGCCCCAGACCCTGGGTGACATGATCCTGGCCTATTTCCCCACCCTTCTCCCATGGCCCTCGCCCTCTCTCTCATGTCAACTGCATAGGGCTCCTTTCTGTTCTCCCTTACCTCAACCTCCTTCCTGCCCGAGTAGCCTTTGCTGAGGTTCATTAGCCCTTATCACATGACCCTGTGTCATTTTTGTTACGGGTCTGACCTGTTCTCGTTCATGAGTTTGTGTCTTCCCCCTCCCTGCAAAGGAAGTGGGGATTTTGTCTGTGCACCACTGTGTCTCCAGCACCTGCTGCAGAGCCCGGAGTACGTGATGGGTACTCAGCTCAGCAAACATTTCTTGAATTAATACATAAATTAATAAAATAACTAAAATTAATGAGGAGTAAGGATAGCCAGGAACCAGCCTTTTCCGGAAGATTGTGCTTTTTCCTGTATAATGATAACCGTAAGCTGGACCAGCCCCTCAAAGATACTGGAGCCATCAAGCTGGCTCTTGCCTGGAAAGTGGAATTGAAGGGGAAGGAGGATTGGATTGGAACATGCCACACAGATGGGCTAGATATTGGGGTTGCTTTCAGACAGAGTTTGGAGGAGGATGGTATGAACCCTACGCCCATCAAGCGTTGGGGCTATAAGGCGTCACCTCCAGTAGGGGGCCCCAGTGAGGAACCGGAAGAGCCCCTGGGGGTAGACGGGTAGATGGGAGAGGGTGGGGAAATCGGCAGACATGAGGCTGACACTGAGAACCGGGTACACTCTGGAAACGGGGTGAATAACCCGAAGGAAGAAGAGATGCAGAACAAGGAGGAGAAGGATTGAGTCAAAGTGAGACCACTGTCCGGTCACCTCTCAAAAGCACATTCCTCTCTTCCCACAGGTCCGGGTGCTGGAGCTGGAAAACGAACTGCAGAAGGAGCGCCAAAAACTGGGAGAGCTTCGGAAAAAGCACTACGAGCTCGCGGGTGTTGCCGAGGGCTGGGAGGAAGGTGGGCCTCTCGGAGGGCGCGGGGAGGGGACGGCGCATGTAAGGAGGGCCTTCTCCTCAGACCTGACCCAACGAAATGCCCTTCAGGCCTCCGACTGCCGCCTCAGGACTCAGAGCGTGTTTTCCCTGCAGTTAGATAACCTCCAAACCCAGAACTGCCATAAATTGTGGTGAATTGAGAGCTTTGGGGGGGAAGGGGGGTCACCTCTCAAGACCTTAACGTTGACTGGTGAGCCCCTCTCCCCACCCTTCCTTGCCCAGTTAGCCTGGTTTCCCGCCCAGCACCTTTCTGTATGGCTCACACAGAGTTGATTAGTGAATGAGCAATAATCAAACGGTGGCCAGCAGGCAGGGCAGGCGGATCACAGGCCTCTCACCAACCAGGGCCAGCGGAGGTGGGCGGCAATGGCCGCACCATAGAAAGGGTCAGGGGCCAGAAATGGAGTGGAGTGGGGGTGCTATCGGGCCCAGCCCAGAAAGGCCGGATCACCTAGAATGTGCTACTTTCCCACGTGTCTAAGGCGGCCAACTTGATCACAACCAGGACCGCCAATGGTTGTGTCAACTGCGGGAGCCAGCCATAGATGTGTACCACTCACTGATGGGTACTTTTCTCGGGGACGAGAACGGCTATGAGCATGAGGTGCTTTAGAGCCACCGTTAGTGGCCATTCCCGTTGGATGTGACCGCGGGCGCACGCGAAGCGCTAGGAACGAACACGACCATTGTTGTCTTTCAGGAACAGAAGCATCTCCACCGGCGCTGCAGGAAGCGGCCCCCGGAAAAGAATAGAGCCACACCGCCACCCCACGTGTCCGAGTGTAAATCTTGTTGCAGTCTCTGTGTGTTATTCCCCAGCCACAGCCTAAGCCCCCGGGGGTCTCGGCGGCAGCCACACCGCACACCGCTCCCACTGTCCAGTGCCAGGGACCCGAATGGCCTTCCACAGAGGAGGGGGACCAGGGCTGCCCCCGCAGAGAGGCCCTCCCTCCCAGTCCTGCCTGCTGTTTGACCCCCGGATGCTCGGCATCCTTGTCCGAGGGGCCCGCTGCTCCGGGGAGCCTGGCGAGGGACCGTCTTACGCCTTCTCTTCTCTGTTCTCTTCTCAGCCTTTTCTGTTTCCATCATTTGCACCAACCCGGGAGCGTCAGAGGGCTGGTGGGCTCCAAACCAGGACGCCGCTCCAAACCTGTGCCGTCAGAACGGCAGGAGCGTCCTTGGCTGGCACGCCAAGGCAGCTTCCCCCTCTCTCGGCGGTTCCATGGCTTTCCACTGCTTCTTATGGTGGTCGCTTGGATTTTCTTTTTCTTCCCTGGTGGGTTTTTCTGGGGGTTTTGTTTTTGGTTTTCTTCTTTCAGCGTTCACTCGTAGAACCAATTCTCCCAAAGGGAGCGCCCCTGGAGCTCCGAGCCATCAGGGGGCCCCTAACCACAGCAGTTAAGCAATGGTGCTGCTTAGGCTCCACCTTGGTGCTCCACGCCAGCCTCCATGCCCAGTGTCCTGCGGAGCGGGGACGGTGCGGCCGAGGCCACGCCCCGGGGGCGGGCACCGCTGCTGGGCCACGCCTTCCTCCAAAGGCTGAAGCAGCGGGAGTGCCTTTCCTTTCTAAAGCGAGCACCTGGCTGGGAGAGCCCCTGCCCAGCTTCACGAGCGACCAGGGCTTAAGAAAGAAGGGAAAGAGGGATGCCCACGGCCCCGGTCTCGGGAGACCCCGCTCTTGGGAACTCCACGTGACCAGGCTGAATCACCCAATCACATGTCTGAATGTGTTGGTGCGAGAAGCCACATTTCTGATCCTGGAATGAATTTTCCGGGCCACCTCCCTTCAGACCCAGGCAGGACCCTAAGGGGGAGCTCGTGAGGGGTTTCCAATTCCTTTCTCCAAATGGCTTCCTTGGCATCCTCTTGAACCTGAAGAAGCTATAGAGTTCCACGTTCTACCTAATTGATAGACCCAGAAGATCAGGCTAACTTGCTCCCAGCGGGAAAGAACCCTGTGCTTGGTTTGGTACCTTCCCTATTTATTACTAACCTCCGTTAAGCATCAGCAGCCTACAAAAAGCCGCTTTGAGCAATCAGGATTTGAGACGTAAAGATGGCAAGGTGTGCGTTGCTGCCCTAGGTCATCAGTCTTCAAGTATCAGAAACAAAGCCAACATGCTTCCCAGTCTGTTACCGGCCTAGACCCCGAAACAAGCGGGTTTCTCAGAGCATCTGGGTCAGGGAAACCGAGAAAGGGGGACCACTGGCTCCGAACCCTTCCAGCCACACGTCCCGGGTCCTTGCTGCTCGGTCGGGATGAGGACAGAGGGCACATTAACAGCTTCCTAGAGGCGGGTAGCCTGACACCACGTGTCCACCTCCAGATGAACCCCAGCATTTAAGTGACCTTCGGATCTTGGACAAACTGTCTTCCTTGTCTGTAGCTACTCGTAGGTAGAAAGCCAACAAGCACTTCCCAGGACCCGTCCCAAAGGAACGTAGCGAAGTGTTGCTACCTGACCGGTTGTGAGAGTCCTGTTTGATCACTGTGAATCAACCCCGCCCCTTCCTAACCACGCCCCTCCCTCTCTGTACATTTCCTAAGTAGGGCACTCAAAGCATGCTCTGCCGTTAGCTCAGATTCCAAGAGTCAGACATGCGATCTCCACATTGGACTTGGGGGGACGGGGCCAGCAGAGGAAGATGAGTGGTCTCACGCTTTAAAGCTCCTTTGTGCTCAGCGTTTGTCCATCCGAGGCTCCGAATGAGGGGCATGCGGCATCCCCAGCCCCGTTGTCCATTAGCAGAGTGGGTCAACATTTCCACAGCGGACTAGTCCTCACTCCCCAAGAGTCTCGGCCGAACTATTGTGCCTGGGTTACCAGTGGTGACAAAAAAATCTAGCATATGGGACCACACTAGGATTCTCTGAATGACACTCGGTCTAAAAAGAAGCCACGGTAATTTTTAAAATCTTTGCAGACTTCGTGCAAGTAATGCAACCCTGGAGAAGGCAATTAAACAGGAACGCAAGCTAATCCCCTCTCGCTCGAGAAATGTCGGCCAGATGCAGCATAATTTCGTTGGTCATCGCTCACCTTAGAAGCTGGTCCATGTTCTAGCCAAAATCAAATTGTCCTACCTTGGCTTTTCTAAAAATGAGTGTGTCTATATTTGGGGTAAAACGCTCGATTAAAACAGGAATCACATCCTAAGGCTAAAAATGAACCTCACAGCCTTTTAAATTAGTCACCTGAGCATCAGTAGTGACTGAAGCCCCATGGGTCAATGTAAATGGGTCACAGCAAGGGAGAGCGAAGTAATGGCTTAGAGCCGACCAGAGGCTGAAAGACAGCTGTATCCGTTATTTAATTTTGTAATACAGTGCTCTAATACCTCTAGGGTAAGGGTTTGTGTGTACATAATAAGGAACGAAATAGAAAAGACCTACCTTTGTGGGGTTCTTTTATATCTGAGTCAGGAGTTTAAATTAGACTATAATTTAGATTCTTTGCTGATTCTGCTGCTTACAGCAGGGTCTCTAGGATCCCATCTGAATCGGAGTCCCTAACCCAGTGGCTGGAAGAACCAAACATTGTCCAGAACATCCTTTCTGGAAGTGTTTGAGCTGCCAAGTCAACACCAGGGTTTTACCAGGTACCACGGGGGTCACAGTGCATGTCGTTCATTCAGTCAGGTTGGTTTGCTTCGGCCTCTCCCTGAGGAGAAGCTGGTTCTGAACTTGCACCTGGGACACACTCACTTCGCAGCTGGCTCCTTAGCCCTGAGGGGTCTGCCGGCTCCACTTACCCTGGTCTTTGACAACGAGTAAAGTTCTTGCTACCTTCTACCACCTTTGCAAATCTCTGGAAATCCTTCCTGCCAACAAAGGCCTTCGATCCTGGCATTGGCCTTTCAACTAGATTGGCTTTGCCGTCCGCCGTCTTTGGTCCTCCAGAGAGCACACTGTATAGCCTAGAAAACCACCACCACAGGCCTGCCAGCCTTCACCACAGCAAACCGGGCCAGCTGTCCGCCGCTCAAGTTCCCTTCATCTCCCAGGGTCAGACCAAATACAGGATCAGCGACCCAGAGGGGTGGCACAGCCTCTCATCCCCAGGAGCCAAAGCAACGGGATACAATTGGTCAGATGCCGTGGGGTCCGATTCTGAGAGTAGATCATTTCCAGACATGTCTTTCAGGTGACCCTCAACTACCTCAGGTTTGAAGGCCCTAAACAAAGCTGATTACTACTCATAGGGACAAACCGAGGGGGTTCAGATAAATCTTGGTGATAACTTATAACAAACTCTCACATTTAGGTTTGCAGGGATAGGTTGGGTTTGTTTTTTTCTTCTGTTTTTAACCTTTCCCCCAGTTTTCCATTAGAATAGTTCCTATAAGTGAATTTCATTTTCCACTGAGTGCCTACCTTCCCAGGGCAGGTAGCCACTGGCTTTTGTTCCCTTCCAACAATACTTTTATTATGGTATTGAGACCTTTCTTTGTATAATACATTGCATCTGTGTTTTCAATTTTTCAAATAAATATTTCAACCTGGCAACGGAGAGTGATAACTGGCCAACCAAAGTGGTTTTGAGGTTGGGGCCCCAGTGAAAAGCCTACACTCAGGGATTCACTGAATCCACTAACTCTGCACTTCCGGGAGTAGGTCTTAAAGACAGGACATTTTCTGAGAAATACCACTGCAGAGAAACTGGTTTGCACTCCTTAATCATGTTCTGTCCTGTCCTAGGGAATGATCAAATGGAACTTGCCAAAGTGGCCAATACTGTCATTAATCTTGATGACCAGGTCTGTGCAGGAAGTCTCAGGATTTGAGGTGTGATTTGAGGGCCCAGGCTATGGATACGCCTTTCCCCACCCACAAGATGCAAAAGTAACCTACCATCTTAAGAATTGGATGGGACAGGGGCGCCTGGGTGGCTCAGTCAGTTGGGCATCTGACTTCGGCTCAGGTCATGATCTCGCAGTTTGTGGGTTCAAGCCTTGCATCAGGCTATGTGCTGACAGCCAGCTCAGAGCCTGGAGCTTGTTTCAGATTCTGTGTCTCCCTCTCTCTAACCCTCCTCTGCTCGCACTCTCTCTCTCAGAAGTGAATAAAACATTAAAAATTAAAAAAAAAAAATTGGATGGGACAAAGGCCATTCATGGCGGGCTGGTCACTCCACCCAGAAGAGCATTGTGAGGAATCGCAAGATCAGGCCACTAGAATGATACTAACATGCCTTAATGAGGGCAGCAAGGGGCAGGAATTAGGGCTTATACAGATGGGCCAAATTTGGGGCCTAGGGGTGGACCTGCCAAAGTAAAAAGCAATGAAGGGAATGGGCAAACAGAAGGACAGCATAGCTGAAAGCTAAGCCGAGGGCACACATCTGAGGCATACACTGTACTGTTGTCTGAAGCCAGCGAGTTCATTTCGCTCAGTCTCTAACGCATTCCCGAACGGATGGTAGGCCTTTCTGCATTTTGGGGTGAATGAACGATTTCTCTTTTTACTCTGCATTCTCAGTCATACACACGTTTTATGAATCCGTTCACTGTGCGAGCACTGAAATGTTCAAAGATGAAGACTGTCCGTCCCCTGCCCTCAATGGTTACATGCATGCATTAGGTGTTACCAGATGTGTGTTCTATCAGGCACTGGCAACAAACAGTGCAAAGCAGAAACCCACCCTTCTGGAGCTTACAGACCATTCAGAAAAACAAGCAGGATAATCAATCACTGCAGGTGACCTTTGGGGTGCCTGGGTGGCTCCATTGGCTAAGCATCCAAGCTCAGCTCAGGTTATGATCTCACTGATCTTGAGTTTGAGCCCTGCATCGGGCTCTGTGCTGACAGCTCGGAGCCTGGAACTTGCTTCGGACTCTGTGTCTCCCCCTCTCTCTGCCCCTCCCCGACTCACACTCTCTGTCTGTCTCGCTCTTTCTCTCAAAACTAAATAAACATTAAAAATTAAAAAAAAAAAAAAACTACAGTTGACCCTGAATGACACGGCTTTGAGCTGCAGATTTTTTTTATACGTGGATTTTTTTGATAAACAGCACAGTACTGTCGGTGTGTTTTGTGCCTCTCTTAATAGCATTTTCTTTTCTCTAGCTACCTAGAATCCAGTGTATACAAAAATATTGATTGGAAGGGGTACATACACCCCAATGTTCATAGCAGCATTGTCAACAATAGCCAAATTATGGAATGAGCCCAAACGTCCATCGACCGATGAATGGATAAAGACAATGTGGTACATATTTATACAATGGAATACTACTCAGCCACACACACACACAAAAAGAACAAAACCTTGCCATTTGCTACAACATGAACGTACTTAGGGAATGTTCTGCTAAGCGAAATAAGTCAGAGAAAGACAAATACCACATGGTTTCACTCATATGTGGAATTTAAGAAACAAAATCGATGAACATAAGGTGGGAGAGAATGCGAGAGGCAAACCAGAAAACAGACTCTTAAAAAACAAACTGAGGGGTGTCAGAGGGCAGGTGAAGGAGGAGGGGAGGGGGAAATGGTTTAAATAGGTGATCGGGATTAAGGAGGGCACTTGTGATGAGCACTGGGTGTTGTACATAAGCGATGAATCACTAAATTCAACACCTGAAACTAATATTACACCATATGTTAACTGGAATTTAAATAAAAACTTGAAAAAGAAAAAAATAAGGTATATAATACATATACAAAATATGCGTTTGCTGACTGCTTGGGTTATCAGTAAGGCTTCTGGTCAACAGTAGGCTACTAGGTTTTGGGAAAGTCAAAAATTACATGTGGATTTTCAACTGTGTGGGCGGTCGGTGCCCCAAACCCCTACACTGTTCAAGAGTCAACTGTACACCTAGAAGAAGCACAGTGATGGAATGTTCTGACAGCGTGGAAGGCCAGGTTATAGAAAAGCTTCCTTGATAATGTGATAGCTAAACTAAGCTACCGAGTGTAAGGAAGTGTTGGTGAGGAAGGGAGGGAAAGCCCATTCTCAATAGCAGGAGTTGCATGTGCAAAGGCCCTGTGGTACATTAAAGGAACTGAAAGGCCAGTTTAGCCAGAGACCAGACAGTGGTTCAAGATGAGTCTGGACAAAGAGGCAGGAGCTGATCATGCAGACAATGGAAAGCAGTTGGTGGGCGTTAGGCAAAGGGTGTCAAAACCATTTTGCGTTTCTCACAGACTACTCCAGTTGCAGTGTGGAGAACAGCCGAGAGGTCAGGCAACGAGAGTGAATGCAGAAATCCAGAAAAGAAGCTGCTGTATTAGTCCAGGCAGAGGGTGGTGGAAGATAAGACAGTGACAGTGGAGGGGCGCCTGGGTGGCTCAGCCGGTTGAGCATCCAACTTGGGCTCAGGTCGTGATCTCACGGTTTGTGAGTTCAAGCCCCCGCGTTGGGCTCTTCGCTGGTGGTGCGGAGCCTGTCTGAAATTTTCTCTCTCCCCCTCTCTCCCTCTCTGCAAAATATTCAAATAAGGGCAAAATATTCAAGTCTTGGTTTAGATAGAGGGGTACAGGAGAAGGAGACCCAGGTTTCCAGCTGTGGGACCAGTTGTGTGCCATCCACTCAAAAGAGGGGACACGAGAGGGCCAAGCTTGGCACGGATATTATGTCCTCAGCTGAGTGGTCTCTGAGCTTCAGAAGTCGGAAGCGATGGGAATTTCACGGTAACTGGAACCATAGCTTCGATGGCCAAGAGGAGAGTGTGAAGGAAGAAGCGGGTCCAGCACTGAGGCATTTCAGTATTCAAAATAGCCAAGTATGGGAGGCCCCACTTGTCAAGGACCTTTGACAGAGCAACTTGAGAGGCAGGAGGAAAATCGAGTGAATTGGCACTTGAAAATGAAGGGGAGACAGTGTCTCAAGGACCGACATGAGACGGTGTCAGGTACTGCCCTTCTGGATGTAGGTTACAAGCAGATGCTGTAGGAGCTGTTGAGATCACTCCCATATGGAAAGATCAGGAAAGTCTGCATTTGAACTGTAGCTGATCCCCTGATAGGGAGATCAGATTTCAACGGGTAGAAATCGGGGGATGAGGATATAGCAGGTGCGGGAAGACGCCGCAGAAGATGCCAGTGTGAGGGAGCGAGGTTAGGAAAACATCTGTCCTCCCCAGTTTGGTTAAAGCATCAAACACGGGAGTGGAGAAATGGAAGATAAAGCTGAAAAGTTAAGTTGTGGCCAAGTGGAAGAAAATTTTGACTCATGGGGCGCCTGGGTGACTCAGTTGATTGAGCTTCTGACTTCAGCTCAGGTCATGATCTCACAGTTCACGAGTTCAAGCCCCACATCAGGCTCTGTGCTGACAGCTCTCAGCCTGGAGCCTGCTTTGGATTCTGTGTCTCCCTCTCTCTCTCTGTTCCCCCCACCCCGCCTCGCTCACTCTCTCTCTCTCGAAAATAAATAAAGTCTTTTCTTCCAAGACCAACTTTGGACACTAAATTGTATTCAATGCCTATTTGGTTGAAAATGACTAATATTACAACAGGTGTATCTTCTTAAGCTGGTCCCTTCAAGGACCTTCCAAACTTGGAAGATAGACATATACATTAGAAACTGAAATATACACGTGAAACAGATGAAACACTATTTGAGGAAATCCTGCCGTATTCAAAGGAAAGACAGGGGTGAGGCGATAACTTTGGGGGTAACAACATCTAGAGAAGTGCTTTTATGGAGAAGGCTGGAAGCACGCCTCAGAGCTAAAACAAAGTCAGAGGGAGGTAGAGATTGGAGTGTGGCGGAAAGAAGAAAGAGGAACCCACAACCTTGGGATGTAGATTCATTCATTTCTCGCCCAAGTCCTTATTCAATGCCCGTCATGTTGAAGGCACAAGGGATACAGTGACAGGGACACGTCTGCCCTCCAAAAGTTTGCAGTCCGGTGAGGCAGCTGACACCAAACCAGTGTGCTGCAGGACCCAAAAGGTTCGTGGATAGGAGGACACAGCAAAGAAGCTAGTACATTCAAGGAGGTCAGGGAAGCTCCCGTGAGCGAATGACATTTAAGCTGAAACCTGAAGAGTAAGGAAAAATTGGCAGTGGGGCAGGGAGGGGGCAGAACACTCCAGGCAAAGCTAACAACAGGGAGAGAGACTTTGGAATGACAGAAGCCTGTGCGGATGGAGTGTGACCAAACTGAGTTCCAGGTTGTAGAAGATCTTGAATGCCATTTGGAGGATTGGAGGCTTTGTGCTTGGGATTGGAAGCAGCCTCTACAGCCTTCTAGATCTCCTACCTACCCAGCTCTCCCGGCTACCAAACCATTCTTATTCTAATTAACATTCCCAAATCACTGTCTCTTGTCATCCTCCCTTCTTAAAATCTTTCAATGGCTTCCTATTGCTTTTTTGAACTAAGGTGAAATTCACATAAAATTAACCATTTTACTACGCTTTGACATTCACACTGCCATGCAACTACCACCTCTTTCTAGTCCCCAAACATTTTCATCTGCCCAAAAGAAGACCTCTTAGTCATTCAGCAGCCACCCCTATCCCCCTCAGTCCCTTGAATCAACTGATTTGTTTCT